TGCGGACGAGCGACCTGAGGCTCTGGTCGACTGCGTCGTTCGGGTGGGCGCCCGCGCCGGCGTTCAGCTGTCCTCGACGGCTCTGCTTGCGTGCGACTGCCTTGCGCATGGCGTCCACGACCCGACCTAGTTGCCCCGTCACAAGCCAACGGAGACGATCGTGAAACATATTGCGCAGGTCAATCGTAGACAGTGCGGTCGAGGGAGCAGACAACAACATGCTAGGCAAGGCCAAAATCAAAGCCCAGCACATCTCTCGCTCTTCAGCGGTATAGTCCGAGTGGACGGCAGACCAATACAGCTGGCTCAGGGTGGCAGCCATCAGCTTGGTCTCGGTGGCGTTGGATGGGTAGCGGCTGCGCTGCATCAGTGGATGCCGGGCGAGCTTGAGCAGCTCGCAGACACTGATGCGAGACCCTACACACTGTTAGCACGCATAATCTCAAGCAGGTCGTGTCCAGCCGCATGAAACAACGCCTCGGTCGCTCGCTTCAGATTGGCACCACATCGGGAGCGGTGTTGACTGATACCAGCAGCTTCGAAGAAGAGGTGACACTTGTTGCACTGGGCGACCAATTTGGCCTCCATCACCTGCTTGACCAGATCAGTGGCTTGCTCGTCGTAGGGGTGCTCGCGTAGTACATGATTGACCCAAGCTTTGCGGTCAAGGCGGGGCCCCTTGCATTTGCAAAGCCCAAATTATTAAAGGTGTATGTCCAGTACAGTGTAATGTGTGTGGACAAGGCGATTGTCACAGAGGTATCCAACCAGTCGAAGTGTACACGAGAACATGGATTGAAGCAAGGCGAAGGAACAAGACAGAACAAGACAGAAGGAGGGAAGTGGAACGACCGAGGTCAAGAAGGAAAATGGTACCGATCCAGGGAGATCGCTCCCATTTATAGCAGGTGGAAACACACACACAGTGGAGACAGAGAATGGACTATCACACTGAAGACAGGTGGAAGCGATATCAGCAATCTGTTGGGACCAACAGATGCCACAACAAGATGATACACCAAGATGGTACAGCAAGATGTTACACAACAAGGTGGGACAATAATAATAAATTAGGTGTTTGAACCTCAGAGCTGAAAGCAAAGCTGTGCAACCCCGACATCAAAATCACGACGTCACGCAAAACAACACAAGAGAACAAGTTACATTCACTGGCTTTTATCATGCCAAGAAGTACAAGCGCGAAGAATCACGCACATAGAAACAAAAATCGTACAAAACGACCAAGTATAACCAGAGATACGGCCATTTTAAACACAAGACACATAAAAAGGCAGTCACACATCACAAGTACAAGCCATCGCAGCACAAGCACAATGAACACCACGGCACGCTCACATCCAACGAGACACAACGTCGGATTGAGAAAACAACCGACCACAGAAGACAAAGGCATCATACAAAGGACTTTACAAAAATTCAGCAAAAATACCACACAAATACAGCAAAAATTAAAGCAAAATTACAAGAAAACTACAAGTCAAGCCATCAACAGACACAACGAGAACCACCAAGGGAGTGACGGGTGCACACAGGGATCCCCACAGAGGGACCCCCGGGACGGTGCCTACCTACGACGAGCGCAGGCAGACACCGCCAAAGTGGCGCTGGATGTGGTCAGCGTTCATCTGATGGACCAGCGCCGCAAAGCGACCCTTCCATCGAGGAACAAAGGCCTCATCCAGCCCCGGCTGGTACACACCACGGGCCTCGGCGCAGCGGGCGAGCTGACCAAGCAGATCCACAAAGGAGGAGGCGAACCCACCGGTTGTCGTCATCGCCGCAGGGACGATCAGAGTTTTTCCATGGTTGAAACCGGTGTAGTAGTCGCGCTTCTCCTTTTCGGCTCGGCGAAGGGCAGCGCCCACCTTGATGCAGGCTTGCGAGGTGGTCGGGGGTTGGGCTGTGCGCACAGTCACGTCAATGCCCAGGTCGGGCAGAGCTGGGCCCAAGGCACCGCCGGGAAAGGGGTTGCGGCAGTGCAGGTCGATGCGGCAGCTCTGACCGTTGGCGTTGTAGCCAGACTTTTCCACCCAGACATGGGAGAGGGTGGCGTACCTGAGCAGGCGGCCCATCTCGTCGCGAAGGGCGTTGTGACGCTTGATGGGAC